GTTCAAACACGGTTTCCGTTTTACATTCATGCCCTAGCTGATGAAGTTATGCGTACGTGACTGACCGCAGAATGGCACTAGCAATTCAAGGCGCGACAAGGGGCTTGCGGCTTCGCGAAGAAACACGTTGGTGTCGGACCACGAACTGAAAGACCAAGGGCTTTAAGTTGTGTGGGATTGAAAGAGCTGATTGCGTTGCTTTGCTGATCAGATCAAAGACCGATATTTGAGCTAATGGGCATCACGCGATGTCTCCACGTTAGACTTTCGTGATTTGTGCGTCATAAAGCAACCAGTTATGTGATAGCTGGCCGAATTCAGATGTGGTGTAATCCAGGAAATGCAAACGCTAAGAATCTCTTGCTTCTTTTCACTGTCTTTTGCTTTCCTAAACCATTAGAAAAACTACTTGATCAATATGATGCAGCGTTAAAAGTATGTTGTCTGTGGCCGGTGCAGTTTCATGGATTAATGACTTGCAGCAGCAAGTTTTTAATGAGAGCGTCCCACCTTTGAGGTATATTCCAAAAGCATAAGCTAATGAGACCGCAGGACCAGTTGCGTCTGATATAGCACCGGGTAGCGCCACTGCGGCACCCTCCAGACATAAGGTTATCAATTTTGATTATTTTCAAGTCCAAATTACGCTGCCAATGTTTTGCAACAGCACTACGTTTCTTCCCTGCAGTTGCGGCCACCGCCATAACAACGACCGTGGGCGTCTACTAGTGCGAATAAAGGAACGTTTGTGATTGATTTAGCGGGCAAGGGCCTGTCACCGACAAGTTGATTGGTTGAAGTTTGAACCAGTGCCTCATATGGATCATATAAACTCCCATTCCCAAAGCCAAAGTGCGCCTCGGAAAGAGCCTCTGTGGTTAACGCCATAGGGCAAAAATCCAAGCGATATTATAACGTTTCATTGAATTCGCAGGATAATAGCATCACGTTCGCATATCTTTTTGTCTAAACAGAGTCTTTCAAGCTTTCGTAGCATTTGTGACGCAAATATGTTGACACATTAGTGTGTTGCAAACATTACTGAACACACACGTTGGAAAGGTAAGACAAATGAAATGTATTACTTTCATAACGGTCAAATTCACATGCAGTTTAAGATACCCATCCATCTCAGGCGACGAAAGAAAATATGACCGATTTTACATTTCAGCCGCGGATGGATAATGCGAGCCGTCGACAACGAACACGTGCAATGCACCCATAATTAGATACGAATCCAGTGCATTTCCTCTGAATGTTTTGATGTCACATGGCAACAAACTGTCGCCGCGCATACGCTGTGCTCAGCGCACGTGTGCTAATAATATGTGCAAATGCACATGTCTTGCATACCTTCTTGTGCTAAACATGAGCATAAGTCATTCCGCATTTCGGAATCAATTCAATAGCGACGCAAAGGGCATGTCGCAACATTGAAAAAAGATAACGCACGCGTGTAACAAATTGCCTGACTCGAAGCTCGCTATCGCCCCCCGTATTGCTTATTGCCCAAAGCCGACTACTTTTTTCTGCCCCAGTGATAGCATTTCAGAATCCGGTATGTATTCGCTATCGGCACCCCCGGTTTGTATTTTAAAGTTTGTCAACACACAAACGTTGGGGTCGGACTAGGTGAATCAATACAAAACCGGGGTTATCGATAGCGGGCTATAACGAATTTTGAGGACGAGAACAGGAAACAAGTAGTGCGCTTGGGGTAGTGTGTAATACGGGCGTGATAGCAAGCTTCGGAGTAGGCAAACTGTTACACAGGCGCGTTACCTGGTTTCATTGTTGAGATATGCCGTATGTGTCGCTATTGAATCGATTCTGAAGTGTAGAATAACTGCTCGTGTTTAAGAGGTATGCGTAGCGACGGTAAGTTGCCATGTGACATGGTAACATTCGGAGGAAATGCATTGAACTGGTATCGAATTGTGAGTGCGTCACATGTGTTCTTTGTTAACGGTCATCTGCTCTACTTTCGTTACCTCAGAGGGATGGGTATGTTAAATTGAATGTGACTTTGGGGTTTTCTTGATGCGTGCCTGAATATGTTTTCATTAATACTTTTGCCTGACCTAGGCTAAAGAAGGGGTAGAAATACCCTGGAAGCTCCCGTTCAGTACAAGCAAGCTGGTTGAAGTATTGTCTTTACATTTCCATAGTGCAATAAACGTATTTGCCAGAAGAAATACACCTTCTTTGGACATTATTTATGGAAGATAATTTTTAACAGTTTAACCACACCCAACCTCGCGATTTTTGAAAAGCAGACTGCTCAATGTCGGATGATCAAAACAACCACGTGGACTGCAGGGTAAGGCATTCGCCTTGACGTGCATATAACCCAACGTGAGGGTGTGGTCTGACCTTCCCTGGACTCCGCGTGCGCTGGGACCAGGTCGGGTCTGAGCCACACAAGCCCGATTTCCATGAAGGTATCCGACCAGTTGGAGGTTGGAGGTTGCCTGATTGTGAAGTTGGACCCTTCATGGCTCATGGTTGTCAGGTCGGACCGTATCGTTCCGTGGCACATGTGGAGAAAATGGACAATCCATGTTTGGTTGTGACCAACCTTATGTCCTGCAAAATCCTGGCGCATGTCTTGTGGTTGGCTTTTTAAATTCAATACGCTAAAGGCAAAAGGTCAAATTCTTCCTTCACGAACAACATGACAGGAATTTACAGCTGTTTTCAATGCTTGTTCGTGGTGCGTGAATACTCCGGTTGTTTCTCCATGCCGCCGTCTGTTGAGCTGCAACGGGGCGTGCTGGGCGTGGTCCGTCTGCTGACGGCCGGCCGCGCCTCGCCGACAGGACGAGATGCGCGAGCCGTGCGTCGGCCTGCAGGAGGTGACGGTGGAGGAGATTCTGGAGGCGCAGCGGCAGGTGCAGGAGGCGCGCCAGCAGCAGGAGCAGCTGCGTGCCAAGGCCATGAAGGAGCGTGGCCTGACGTACACAGCTGACCTGGGGCCTGACGACATGTACTGAGGCCCGGCGCGATGCGCTCTGTCTCTCCGCGGCCGCAGGCGGTGTCGGACGTCCCTGGTGCGCGCGCTGCCGGTCTGTGGTTCTCGGTACCGTACACGTTGGCGTGCGCGCTGCCCGCGGGTGTGTCTGCGAACAGTTCAGTGTGGCGACACTGATCGCGGCGAGGCAGTGATAGGTGACAGGCGGAAAGCTATGTTATTTATGAGCGCTTTGTCAGGAAGACCGTGTTCTTTTGTCGTGTGAGAAAAGATGCACGCTTGAGGGTATGTGTTCGCGGTGTGTGGTGAGGGATAAGCTGTACTTTGAGCGTTTTGTAGCCTTGTACGCTGTGATATCAAACAGGATTGGCTCGGGCTACCATTTTGGTTATTTTTGCATGTACTGGATTGCAGTTTCTCTCTGACTTATGGGCGCATCAGCATTTTGTGCATCACATTTTCGTCATGAGTTACACCATCGTTATTAAAGAATGCTCAACTTGATGCCCAGGGGTCAAGCGGAATATATGTAGTAAAATTCTTCAGTACATGAAGTTTCAATGCCGACTTAAACATTTCTGCGAATGTCCACGAAAAAAACCCAGGGAAATGAAGGACGTAGAAAACAAGTGTTACGGCTTATATCAAAATGTCATATGGTGTCGTGCATCAATTGCGTCGTGCCCTGCCCTTTTGAGCATTTCGTACCTTCTTCCCTGGCGGTGCACTGGCTGCGTTGGGCGGGACACCCGGCCCGGATGACACTTTAAACAATCCTTAACTTATCCAGTTTGATATGCAACCCCACCTGACCGTGCATTACGTTGTTCCAATACTCTTGTGTTTTCATTTTTACGGAAGGATTGAAACTGGGTATATGTTTACGGATGCAGTAATTGTTCTGTCCTCATGTGACGTTGCTTCCCACGCCTGGTGTCCTTCCCGGCCACCTCAGTAGAGCACTGAACTATCAATTATGAAACTCTGGTTTGAATTGCAGCAATTCGAAGGAGAGAATTCGGTTGACGACACGAACATGGCTGGATCAAACATTCAGCCCTTTTCAGGACTGTATAAGGCCCAACAACGGCCCGAGATTGAACCACCGAAACGTTAGTAAAAACTGACACGAGGTGAGCATGACACTCCGAACATGAATGATTCCATCCCCTTCCAATTATTCAATCCCCTTGCGCCTCGATATGACTCCTTTCCTCCACGTTACGCTTCGGTCTCACTTCCTTTAATCCTCTCCTGCATGCGCAACGCGGAATGTGAACGGCGTATATGTAAATTTGTAGAACACAGCACAATTTTACATGACCCGATTAATGTAATTTCTCCCACTCTCGCACGTACCGTGCTACAACTTTCCGTGCATTCACCTTGAAAGATGACATTTTTCTGTTCCATGCATCTTATAGAACCATTCTGTGGGTCTCGTCAGCCTGTGTGGGTGGAGGTGCAGACACCCGCCTAACAGCATCAACCAGATGGATTAACATTTGAGTGGAACCCACTGAAATATCAGTGTGACTGCTTAAATGATCGTCGGCGTTACCCCCTCCCCCCGAACCCTGCGGGCTTCCATTCCATTGCTCTCGGGCACTGTTCATTTTGGATTTGATATATGAAATTACCAATCACCTTGCATTACAGGATGAACGTCCCAGCCCCGTTCTTCACAACCAAATGAAAGTACGTTCCCTACCTGGAGGAGAATAAACGTTAGACCATGTGATGCTATTGTCTGACCTTGAAAATTCGTAACGGTTGAATCAATTATTTTAATAAACTGCGTGTAATCTGTTAGCATCTAACTTAAAGCAAGCCGTGCTCGCCTAAATTTTTGGGCTATTTCGCAATAGTTGCCTGGGATTAGAATGCCTCGGTTAACACTTCGAGAGCGCCGATAGAGTAAGCAGCGAGCGAATTCAATTAGCCTTGAAAAGCTGGAAACAGTTGATCAAAACATAAACAACTTGTCAACCAAGCCGAGGCGCGAGAGAGGGGGAGGAGCCCAGCGTGACGTTACATAAGTGTGTGCACTTGGAAGTAGCGTGATAATTGCAAAGAGATAATAATTATTAAAAGTGAGTGCGTGGAGGGTAGTATAAATATTAGGCACGGTGAACGTCTGAAGTCGTTGGTTAGGACACAGCATTAGCGCTGCACCTTTGCGTTTCGAGGGTTGTAGAAATAATAGGAAGGGTGCTCGTTTCAAATTTGTTTGGGCTGACAGTGGGGCAACATCGTAGCATTTGGTATGTGGGTGCTTAAAATTAATGCAACCAATCCAACATGTCTTCTGACCAATATTTATTGACTTTGTACCAGATGCAAATGATTTGGACTGTTTCCTTCAGACCCAAGAAATCTTTGGATCCTATTTAAATGGCATCCAGTGGGATCCCAGATATTCCCTTGGTATCCAGGCACATGTTTATTTGACACTGTTGGTCCTGCCCAATGTCCTGCCCTTTAACATCACCCAATCTCAAGCATGACTGCTGCCACCAGGGCATTCTGGTCAGCAGCTAATGATAAGTTCCTACAGCAGGAACCCACCCCACCTTAGAGGAGGACAGGCAAAGACAGGTGCTTTAGCAAGCTGTTCTATTGGGACAGATAAACAAGCATATTCAGCTGTATGGCACTACTCTTACTAAGAATCCTACTTAAATACCTAATAATACCTTAATGGATACCTTAACCCTGTTCATTATCCCAACTTGACTCCTACTGCCAATCCTACTTAAGCAATAAATCATGACCACAGCCATTTACCCTGACCCTGTCCCTAATCCTGCTTCTATTCCTACTCCTGCTCCTACTCCCAAGTATTGAAGCCATGCTTTCACTCTTACCAAACCTGTTCTGCACCCTACTTCAAGTTAAACCTCAGCCAAACAACCTAAGTGCTCCTCCAGCATATGAAAGGCCTTTCTCTATTCTGGCTGGCAACATTTCTTATGATCTATGAAATGAGTTTCCAAGATCTTAAATTCAAAATATTGAGATGCACCTCCATGTCTCACATAGTGCTGTTGCAGGTGGTGGTAGGCTAATATGAAATGGGTGATGTATTTTACAGGAGACAGCATTGGGCACACAGCCATGGTCATCGACCAATTTTTTGTTGCAGAACATCATGCTGCCTGCGTACCGCTCATGGCGGCAGCTTACCCGCCTGGGCCAGTGTCGGTTTGCTTTAAGCAAATGTTGGCATCCACCTAGAGCCAGTACCAGGCTTCTTCACCAAACTCCTCCAATGGTAAGCCTGGTCTAGGCAACATGGTGCTATGACTGTGCCACTGTCAGTCATTGTTAGATCCTGAGGGTTTCCATTTGATATGGGGAGCATGATTCAAACATAATTGAAGACTTTTAGCCCATTCTCCTTTAGCCAGGAAGTGGGCAACACCAGTTGAGTAAGTTTCCTCACTCTAAGTAAGCCATAAAATGTGTTCTGAACTGCTGACTGTGTCCTCCTTTACTGGCACTAAACCCACTGGCAGCACCCTCTGCTGACACTGATGGCTGCTGATGGTGCCCTTCTCTGCTGACACTGATGCCTGCTGACAGTGCCTTCCTCTGACACTGACACTCACTGATGTTTCCCTCCTCTTCTGACTCTGACACTCGCTGATGGTGCCCTCCTCCGCCGTCCGCCGACACTGACACTCGCTGACAGTGGTATTGACATACACTGGCGGCTGCTGCCAGTGTCCTCCGCGGACAATGACGCCCGCTGACAGCGTCCTTCTCCACCGACACTGACGGCTGCTGACATCGCCCTCCTCCGCCGACGCTGACGGCCGCTGACAGCGCCCTCCTCCGCCGACGCCGACGGCCACTGGCAGCGCCCTCCTCCGGCGACGCTGACACTCGCTGACAGGGCCCTCCTCCGCCGACACTGACGGCCTCTGACGGTGCCCTCCGCCGACACTGACGCCCCCTATCGACACCCTCCTCCGTGTGCAGCGGGCGGACGTGCAGCTGACGCGGGAGCACTACCCGGTGACGCGCGGGTCCTACAGCGAGCTGACGGACGACGACCTGCAGCAGTTCCGCCGTATTCTGGACGACGGCCGCGTGGTGACCGCCGCCGACGAGCTGGACATTTACAACACTGACTGGTGGCGCACCTGTCGAGGTACGATCACCAACTGGTGGCGCACCTGTCGAGGTAGGAGCACCAACAGGTGGCGCACCTGTCGGGGTACGATCACCAACTGGTGGCGCACCTGTCGAGGTAGGAGCACCAACAGGTGGCGCACCTGTCGGGGTACGATCACCAATAGGTGGCGCATTTGCCGGGGTACAGTCACCGACTGGTGGCGCACCTGTCAAGGTACGGCCATCAACTGGTGGCGCACCTGTCGTACAGTCACTGACCGGTGGCGCACCTGTCGAGGTACAGTCACCGGCTGGTGGCGCACCTGTCGTACAGTCACTGACCGGTGGCGCACCTGTCGAGGTACGGGCATCAGGTGGGAGGGGCGGTTGGACACTGGGCAGTGCCTGCGGATGGGCCCGGAAAGGGGGTCTACGCGGCTGGCAGACTGTCGGGGTAGTACATTCGGGCATGGAGCGTGTGGTGGACTGGTATCAGCATTAAAAGTACTCCGGAAAGGTTCAGTTTTGGCCGGGATGGGTCATGATTTACGCGACGGCGTAAATCGTCCGTGACGCGACGCGTCCGTCCGTGATTTACGCGACGGCGTAAATCGTGGCGTCCGTGACGCGACGGTGACCGGTGACTGGCACATGAAGAGAAAATCTCACCACGTGAGAATTACGGGATGAAAATGTCTTGGGCATGCTCGTCTTTGAAGCCCAGACAGACGCAAGCACGTTATTGTCCTTGATCTTCCCAGGTCACCGCAGACCACCTCCGTTATACTTTTGTGTGGAGGCGCTTGCCGACAAACACGACAGTTCCGATGAAATATGGGACCCGACCGAGACCGTTACGTTCAGTGCTCGCGAAAGATCGCTCAACAACGCTGGCGGCTATGTGGTAACCTGGGAGGTCGTCGTCGAACGGCAAAAGGCGGTGTCGACCCAGCATCGGTCGATTTCCCACGGGGGGGGGGGGGGGAGAGTGGGCTACACGTGTGGCGCGAGCGTCGAGTTCGGGTCGGCGGGGCTGGTGAATCGGAGCGCTTACCCAGTCCGCTCCTCGGGGAGACATTAGCGCGTTGAGCCATGCTTTGGTCGGCCGCCATAACGGCCCCGTAAACAGCCTCTGCTGGCCATCAAAACCGAATCCGCACGAAGCGCCGGCGCTGTGAGACTGAAGCGGCTTTCGCAACGACTTGTTCCGAGCCCGAGGTCGCTGGCCGGCGAGTGGGGTCGAGGCGAAACATGTGTTGGATGGCGGCGGCGCCGCAAGCCCCGCCCGCTCACAGTGAAATGACACGCCAAAAATACGATTCAACCAAGCACCTGTGAAGGGTGTCTTCTTCGGGGACCCGACCATGCCGTGTGCGACGTTTGGTGATGTCGGTGTCCGGCCGAGCATTTCAGTCATGATTTCGAGCTGGCGCTCGCTGGCTGTCGCCCGAGTCTCCCAGCTGGGCTCCGCGCCGCCCGTGAATGCTGCATGAGCCCGTTAGCGCGTGACTAATGCAGGCGCGCTCGACAGCCGGAAGGACGGGCCTCGGCCGACCGGCCGGCGGATGCCGTGCTCGTCGATTTGGACCGTCCGGACTCGTCGCGGCGGCGACGGCGAAACGGGCGCCGCCCGGTTTTCCAGCAGCCTGAACCGCAGCCTTCAGGCCGCGCGCCGCTGTTGCCGAGCAAACGGCATGCTGAATGGTGTTTGGGGCGGCGAACTTTAGCTCAGTTGCGGCAGTTGTACCTTCAATACTGAGGGACGGCGCCGAGCGAATGGTTAGAAATCCGAACCGTCAAGTGACGTGCTGCTTGAAGTTTGAACACTCTGGACAACGGAAGTTTCCCGGCATTGCTAGGAAAGGCGGTACATGCGCTTTTTTGAAGCGCGATATGCATGCTACTGGTACTGTGCAACCGGGCAAACTCGGGTGACGTCGGACTGCTTGGTCGTTTTGCTCTGGGTCTACCCAACAAAGTGTGCTTGGGACTGCCTTCATTCCACGCCAACGAGGCAAGCCCAGTGGCCTCCCTTTTTGCAAATCGCGAGTAAGCCTCCCAAGAAATAGACCAAAACTTGTTCAGCTTGCTGGGTCTGCCTTCGTCGAGAAGTTGTAATGAAGTGGGATTACGTGAGCCCATTTAATTACGCTGTAACGTACACGCTCGTAAGGCTCGGCGTTTGCCGTGCTATTCCAGTGACAACTGTTAGACAGGGACGGGGGCAGATTACAGGGACGTCAGACGGCTACTGTGATACGTTAGACGGCTATTGCTGTCTCGCGTACTCAGAGTGCGTTGCCCTCATTTAGGCCAGAAATGCGACCGATCGTCCGCCGCTCAGCTACACGAGGCCGCTCGCGGCACGAGCCTGGTGGCCGTGCGAACGGCCGGATGCCAACTTTGACTGGCGAGATGGCTGTTGTAACGATCTAGAGCCGGCGGGCGCGTGGTGGGCCCCGCTGTGCCTGTGAACGCTGGCGTCTCTTTCCAGGACGGCTGAGCGGTTGGGCGTCCTCTGTCGGCACTCGTGCAGGGAAAGGGCCGGTGTTGTAGGCGGTGGTGCCGCAGCCCCGAGGACTCGTGACCTGGCGTCGGGGAGCGTGCGGGGCTGTAATCTGCTCGCGCCTGGTGTCCGGTGGCAGCACGCTTCGACTGTAAAGGATTTTACCGTGGTCGTGCTTCTGTGCATTCTCAAAGACTGTGGTATCATTTCGTACTCTGGGGTTCTTTTGTTAGCGTTTGGTCGCATGTGCGTTTTGCTATTGGCTTGCAGAGTCTGCAGTTCGGTGCATGATCGAAAAGAGCAGGTGGCTGCACAGGTTCTGTACAAATTTTCAGACCGATACTTATGCGGTACAAACTGACCGACGTCCGTGTCCGACACACACGCGTCTCCGTCCATCCATGTATCTGCCGTCCAGAGGCAAAAAGGCCTAAGAGTCAAAAGTTAACATAGCATTGAAGCCTTTTTGCCTCTGGACGGTGGGTATGCAGGGGCTGGCTGAGGTGAATTAATCGAGTTCAGGAAACTCAATTACAAATCGTTGTCAGTTCATAGATTGCATTATGCGTGCTGATGCTAGCTGATGTCCGACGCCGAGCCGAGCGACGCGGAGTATAGGTGGCGTCAAATGACAGAATCGGCTTGTATAAGTTAATTTTATAGCCGTTTTGTATGTGGGCGCCACGGCTGTTGTGGGCCTTATCCGGGGGCAGATCAAACAACCTCAAAGCTTTTGGTTCCGGCGTCAGTTGTACCAGAATCGCTCAGCTGTCCCTGTTCGATTCACGCCCAACTATCGACGCAGGAATTCCTTTGAATCCCACACAACCACCCATCTACGGCTGACACGAAACACACTATGACAAGCCGCTGTCGGGGGTGCGCGCTGGCGCGTCGCAGCCGAGTCGCGTGCGACGTGGCGCCGCGCCGCCGGCACGCCCGGTCGCTGGCGGAGGCCGCGTCGGAAGCGTCTCGCGCCGGCGGCCAAGTTCGACGCGGGGGCCGGCGCAGCCGCGGGCCGGAGCGGCTCGCGACGACGCCGGTGGGAGCCGTGCGCCGCGTCCGAACGGCTGGAGCGGCTCGTCATCCGACCGCACGCGGCCGACCCGCTTCGCTGTCGCTGAGATGGGTGGTGTGAGCGTGGGGTGTGGGCGTGTACAGCTGGTGCCGCTATTCGGAAACTGTCCGTAGCGTCACCGGCTGCCCGGAAGATGCCCAGCAGAAGGTGGGATTGTGTGGTGTGTAGAATGGAGTGTGGCCTTTGCGATGGCGACTTGTGAACTTTGGGCAAGGATAAACCAGCCCGGTTGGTGTATTTGACCGCGAGTGTACGTGGTTTGAAGATGTCATGTTTCTGATGCACAATTCTCACCACGTAACTAAGCGATCTGAATGATCTGACCACTTCTAAACTGCCCCGTTAAAAACGAAAGCGTCTTGCGTGCCAGCTCAATCCTGTTCACATAACCGTTCTGATCAGCAAATTGGCTTTATTTGCGGTTGTTAAAGCCAGAAATGGGGCCTAAAAACGTGTTTTAGACTTTGATTTCCGCCCCATGCGCGGCATGATACACCATATGAGCACTTCTCGGGTCGCGTTCCCTCCTACAAGTGACCCACGGCGCCTCGCCCCCTGCCCCCGGACCACAGGATACAGTCATCACCGCTCCCATCGCTGACGCCTCGCTCGTGCCGGCAGGCGAGAGCCGCGTGCTGCTGAAGTCGCGCCATCGCCGACGCTCGTACCGGCAGGCGAGAGCCGCATGCTGCGGAAGCCGCGTCATCGCCGACGCTCGTACCGGCAGGCGAGAGCCGCGTGCCGCTGAAGCCGCGCCATCGCTGACGCCTCGCTCGTGCCGGCAGGGGAGAGCCGCGTGCTGCTGAAGCCGCGCCATCACTGACGCCTCGCTCGTACCGGCAGGCGAGAGCCGCGTGCTGCTGAAGCCGCGCCATCGCTGACGCCTCGCTCGTGCCGGCAGGCGAGAGCCGCGTGCTGCTGAAGCCGCGCACCACCGAGGAGGTGTCGCGCATTCTGCGACACTGCAACGACCGCCGCCTGGCGGTGTGCCCGCAGGGCGGCAACACGGCCGTCGTCGGCAACGGCGTGCCAGTCTTCGACGAGGTCATCGTCTCCACACAGCTGATGAACCGCGTGCTGCACTTTGACGAGTTTTCTGGTGAGTGGGCGGCCTGGAAGGTCGGCGGTCCCGACCCGCGGCCGGACGGCGTGGCCCGAAGGTCGGCGGTCCCGAGCCGCGGCCGGGCGGCGTGGCCCGGAGGTCGGCGGTCCCGAGCCGCGGCCGAACGGCATGGCCCGGAGGGTCCGGCCCGGGGTCCCGAGCCACGGACGGACGGCGCGCCGTCGTGCCGTCGCGCGGTCCTGACCGCGATCGACGACAAAGCTCCTGAGCCATGCTCGAAGGCGTGAGGTCGTCCGGTGACCGGGGGACGGGTCGCGGGACAGCCGGGGCGAACGAGGCGGCGGCGTGACGCGTGAACCACGAGGCGAAGCGCCAGCAGGCCGCGCGGTGAGGTTCCGCTGTTGGAATCACGCCAGCTGGAGACGGCGTCTCGCGATTTGTGTGTGTGTGTGTGTGTGTGTGTGTGTGTGTGTGTGTGTGTGTGTGTGTGTGTGTGTGTGTGTGTGTGTGTGCGTGCGTGTGCGTGCGTGCGTGCGTGCGTGCGTGCGTGCGTGCGTGCGCGCGTGCGCGTGCATGCGTGCGTGCGTACGTGCGGGCAGGCGGGAGTTCATGCAGGTGTGCATGCGTACGTGTGCGGGCGTGCGCGTGCGTGTGTGTTTGTGTTAACGCTGTGGAGTCTGAGGTCACAAGGCAAGCGTCAGCTTACGGTACAAACACGTAGCAGCGTGTAGCAATGAATGAAGTGTTATTTTTTCCAGGCTGGCCTTTTATGAATGTCGGAAGATCACGAATGCGCCGTGATGAGACGACGTTATGTTTGTCTGTTACGTTTTTTTCCATCCTGCCTCCACACTGCGTGATTCGAGCCTGGTAACGGGTTTGGCAACTTGTTAAGCCACCGATGTCCGCTCTGGTTGAAACATCGCTGCCTGTCATAACTGGCCTGTTCATGATGTATCGCCAATAGTCTCGTCCCTGTAAAGTATAACCCACCCACCCACTCCCGTCTAACTTCACAGCCGCCCAGCGACTGCCACCGCACTCAAGACCTGACCTGTGCCCCAGGGGCGCCGGCACATGAGACCGGTCGCGTGCCGGTCGCGCTGGGATGCCCCACGTGATGTCAGCCAGTGATGCCCCGCGTCGCCTTTGAGACGTCCTCACTTGGTCCTTGCATCCAGGGTGATACTCCACGTCGCCCCTGACACCACCTGACTTGGCCACTGCATCCAGGCTGTCGACGAACGAGGTCGTAGCCGTCCTGAACGCTCGCCACGCACCTGACTTCTTTCCCAGGGTCGACGACCTGCCCGGCGCACAATGATCTCCGATGTCGGCGTGCCCTAAAACGCGCCGTCGTCTAGCGACACTTCTGCCCTGCCGTACCGTGCCGTACCCTGCCATGCCCTGTCCTGTCCTGTCCTGTCCTGCCCTGCCCTGCCCTGCCCTGCCCTGCCCTGCCCTGCCCTGCCCTGTCCTGCCCTGCCCTGCCCTGCCCTGCCCTGCCCTTCCCTGACCTGACCTGACCTGACCTGCTCCCCAGGCGCGCTGACCTGCGAGGCCGGCCTGGTGCTAGAGGCGCTGGACACGTACGTCAGCGAGCGCGGCTACATCGCGCCCGTGGACCTGGGCGCCAAGGGCAGCTGCCAGATCGGCGGCAACGTGTCCACCAACGCCGGCGGCCTGCGGCTCTTCCGCTATGGCAACCTGCACGGCACGGTGCTCGGCCTGGAGGCGGTGAGTGCCTTGGCGGCGGACCCGTCGGGGCGGTGCTAGTGCTGGTGCTGCTGTGCGGTGTGCTGCTCTGGCGCCGCTGTGGCGTTGCCCTGGGTTAGCTGATTCGGGTTGCTGCTGCGCTTGGCCCCTCCCGGCTATCCTGTTCGGGTGGTGCTGGGTTGTTGTCTGGGTGTGTCCTGGTTGCCTGCGGAGTGTCCCGTGTCTCAGGGTTTCATCAATGAACGCGGCAATGTGAGATGAGAGTGTGTGGGAGAGTGCGAGGCTGACGGAGTGCAGTGCTGGTGCCCCGGCTGCCTGCGCATGAGCTCAGCCTCACGCCGAGCGCACCGACAGCGAACGAGCGGTGCGTCGCGTTGAAAGGTCATCATAAAAGCTGCCGGCCGGTGTCGCGCTCGGGTCGGCTGGCATCTGCAGCGTCCTGGGCGTATGTCACATGTGCTGGCTACCCGGCCGCAGGTTCTGGCTGACGGGGAGGTAGTCGACCTCAGGGCGGCTGTTACATGTGCTGACTACCCGGCCGCAGGTGCTGGCTGACGGGGAGGTAGTCGACCTCAGGGCGGCTGTAATGTGCTGGCTACCCGGCCGCAGTGCTGGCTGACGGGGAGGTGGTCGACCTCAGGGCGGCTGTTACATGTGCTGGCTACCCGGCCGCAGGTGCTGGCTGACGGGGAGGTAGTCGACCTCAGGGCGGCTGTTACATGTGCTGACTACCCGGCCGCAGGTGCTGGCTGACGGGGAGGTGGTCGACCTCATGTCTGCCATGAAGAAGGACAACACCGGCTACGACCTGAAGCAGCTCTTCATAGGCTCCGAGGGCACGCTCGGCTTCGTCACCAAGGTGGTCGTCCAATGTCCGGCCAAGTCCAACGCTGTCAGCCTGGCCTTCCTCGGTGAGCGTCTGGCGGCGGGCCGCTACGCGCGAGGCGACGTGCTCAGGTCCGGTCGCTGGTAGGGGTCGATTGGCGGAGGTCCAGGTCCGGTCGCTGGTAGGGGTCGATTGGCGGAGGTCCAGGTCCGGTCGCTGGTAGGGGTCGGTTGGCGGAGGTCCAGGTCCGGTCGCTGGTAGGGGTCGATTGGCGGAGGTCCAGGTCTGGTCGCTGGTAGGGGTCGGTTGGCGGAGGTCCAGGTCCGGTCGCTGGTAGGGGTCGGTTGGCTTTGGTCCAGGTCCGGTGGTTGTTAGGGGTCGGTTGGCTTAGGTCCAGGTTCGGTCGCTGGTAGGGGTCGGTTGGCGGAGGTGTGCTGGAGTTTCCAGGCAAGCCGGGATATCGTTGTTAAAAACAAAGGGCATCGCAACTTCTTTGTGAAGTATTTTTCAGCAAATGGGGAGGGGCCATGCTCCCGACCCCGAGCCAAGGGTTTTTCATTACATGCTGGCAGATTTCGCAGGAATTGGGGCTAAATTCCCAGGATGTCTGAGAAAAGTTGGCATTTGCCCGCCCCCACCCCTCCTGAGGAAAATTTTAACCGCATACTGGGCAAAGCGCATATGCCAGCGCTCGAAGTGTACGATATGCTTATCGCGACTGACAAGAGAGCGATGCGGAAATAAACAAATTCAAGCTTCAAATATAACACAATGCGCACATGATTTGCTGCCCCACAAACTTTTGCTGTTTTTTTTTCGTTCATTACCTCCCTTAGATCCTGCGAGTATACGCTGGTGATGCCGCACATAGGTTTTATAAACTCTATTAAAACGATGCTGATATATTGAGTAGCGGCACGATGTCGGCATCGCCTTTCTGTTCTGGTACCATCGCGTGCCTGAGACTTTGTTCTAAAGTTGGCCGTTTTCCCAGCCACCGCGAACTTCCGCTAAGTGAACCATCGCTTTTGCTGTGCGCCCTCCACCCCGCCGCCGCTGCCGCGGAACAGTTGAGCCGTTCTCGCGGGACTTTGCTGAGCCGCCCTGAGAACCTAACCGGAGCTGACTACGCCCTCGGACGCTGGCAGTAGTGGAGCCAGCGCCGGGCGCCGAGCGGCCGCCTGGCAGGCCTGTCGAGCTTGACCGGCTGGCCGATCTCCTTCCGCCAGTGAACGCCGCCTCCCCTCCCCCCTCTCTCAGGGAAGCACTGCCACGTGTGGCCGGCCCCAGGGCGTCCCTGGTTGGCGGAGCGGCGCTCCCCAGAGGTGGCGCCCGTCAGACGACGCCGCCGCCGCCGCCGCTGGCACTTCCCGTGCCGAGCGCCGCGACAGGGAGACGTGCGGAAGCGTTCCCGGGGGCGTGCCTATGCATCGAGGATGACAACGGGCTGGGATTCTGGGTCGGTCAGGCTGGCCGCAGTGTCTGCTCTCGTGTTGTTCGTACGTGATGGTCAGCCGCCTTTCCCACAGGCCCGCCGTCCCTTGTTTCCGCCGTGTCAATTAGAAAAGCTCGCGAGCTGGGTGTTTGACACATCTCTCCTTGTGACAGCTATTCCATCTCGCAGCTGACACAACTCCAGTGCCACATCATCGGCCCCGCCGCGCCGCTTGCCTTCACGGCCGCGATGCTTCTTTTAGTCGGCGCGCCACGAACTTCCCATCCCATCGATCCCATCCTTGGAAGCCCAGCCGGATCTGGGCGCCGGCGCCGGCGACGCCCGCTTTGTGTGCTCTGCATTCTGCAATATGCCCGGCGCGGGATGCGGTATGCCCGTTGTGGGCCGCAATATCGTTGCCGGCTGCAGTATGCAGTCGGCCGGCGATTGATCGTCTGTGGGGCGGCGGGCGAGCGGCAGGGAGGCGCATGATCTGGACGCGCCCCGGCCCCCAGGGCCCCGCGCCCCCGCGCCCCCGGACCCCCAGGCCCCGGGCCCCGTGCCCCGGGCCGCCGCGCCCCCGGGCCCCGCGCCCCCGCGCCACCGTACTTCCGCGCCCTCGCGCCCCTGCGTCTCTGCGCCCCTGCGTCTCTGCGCCCCGCGCCCCCGGCCCCCGCGCTCCCGCGTCCCCGGGCCCCGTGCCCCGCGGACGTCTGGTACCTGGTCGGCCGGCGTCGGCAGCAGGCGCAGACAGAGGTGGCGCATGACGGGCGCGCCGCCGCCGCCGCCGCTGCCGCCGCGTGCTGCTTTGTGGCAGGCAGAGTGGCGGGTGGCGGCGGCGGCCGGCAGGGGCAGGCAGAGATCTCAAGCGGAGGGTTTATGCAGCAGTGAGGGGCGTCGCCATATGTGGAAGATTGGACCTTTGCGAGAATGGACATCCGAGGCCGCATTCAAAGTGCGTCATTACAATTCAATGTTGCCAATAGTTCATCGCGGCATTCAGTTTTCTCGAAAATTTGTCGGGGGAGATTGTCGTGAAATGCATTTTACTGGAGAACGACATCTCATTCGCGGGCAGATCGAAGGGCCTTCCTGTCCGGAATGTGAACCAGAACATCTTGAGACAGCCGCGTGGCACATTCGTGGAGTGAAGCTTTGGCTGCGCAGCTAGTGAGACAGAACAAACGCGCTAATGGTGGGGGCCCTCGAGCTTTCTCTGAGCTTTGATGGCTGAAAATGCAGAAAGCGTTCGGCAGAAAATCCTTGGAGCTCTGAACACGTGCTGTAGTGTTTTCACGCACCGGCTATCTGCAGCCCGAGAGATGTTTGTGAGTCGCCGGGTTTATTTATGCAGTAAATCGGTGAGAGCTGAGACGCTGTGAATTGTTTTTCGTATCTTGAGGGGTGCTGCCGCCCACAATGCTACGCCCCCGTGGCTTCTACGTATTTCCTGATGCGTAGGCTCGTGGCAAGGCTGGCTCTCCCCAGCGGCACATCCATATTTTTTCCAGGAAGGTTGCGGGGGGAGGGGGAGGGGGCAGGCCTCCGGACAGGACCCTCATATTCTCAGCAGGCTGGAATTGCGTTGTTTTTTGGTTGGAAGGGGGGGCAAGGACACCTCACTTGGGGCAATGAAGGGACGGCGGCACCGCTGTTCGTCTCCCCCTGGGTGCGCCTCTGTTCCAGTGTATCGTAGTGTTTATACACGTGCGGCCCGAAATGGAGTGAACAGGAACATTGTCCTCATCATAATGCGTCAATATGTACACGGCATTCCAAACTGCATGTTTGCGGAGCGGCGGTCATGCGGGGCAAATATTTGACCGTCGACTTTGATGATCGTTCTTAATGTGTTCTCCCCGTGCGTGGGAGTTCTTGTCGGAGCGGGTCAGCTGTAGGTCTTCATACCACATCGAAATAAAGCATGAGAGTTGAGCGCCCATGTATTTTGCGTTGCTTGCAAACAACGCCAGCATTTGCTCACGCAACCCGCTTGCAAGCAGAATGTTGCTAATCATGGGTTCATGGCCCGCTGGTAATGGCAGCTCGTGTTTTATTTGATGGGGGGGGGGGGGGGCGCAGGTGCGAATGCTGTTTGATGTGGATCCACATTCCGCGCCTTTTTTGCGCCGGTGCCGCCCTTTTTGGCGCTGCTACAGTGTTGGTAATGGTGGGCGGTCGGGTGACGCCTTGCCGCTAATGACTTAAGCTGTTTCCAAGCGTTCGTCCGCTTGGCCTGTTCTATTATGCCCTCTCACACGGCTCGCTTGTATGGTGCCTGTTCCTCCCTGGCCTCCTCTGACATGAGCGTTCTTGGAGTCGCCCCGGCGGTCCGGGTACTGAGGAAGCGCGTGCACGTGCCTCGGCAGGCCTGAAGTCGTTCGAGGACGTGCTGCAGGTGTACAGAGGCGCCAAGTCGATGCTGGGCGAGATCCTGTCCTCGTGCGAGTTCATCGACCAAGAGTCCATCGCCTGTGCCCGAGACAACCTGCAGGTGAGGACGGCTCGCCAGCCGCTGCCCTCCACAGACGCGCGCCGGGCCAGCCTGCGGCGGCCGTCCGCGACCCGCCAGGCGACCTGTGGCGTTCGAGGCGCCTCGGCCGGTGCCTTCCCGCCGCCAGCGCCGATGACGGGGGCGGGCCGTCCTCGGTGCTCAGGTGTAGGACTGCAGCCGCCCTGCGGGACGGACTTCGATGGTTGATGTGCGGAAGGGGTTGCGCTCCTGCTGAAAGTCGGCCGCGACGACACGGTGGGCCGCCTTTTTGGTTGCGTTGCTGCGAGGGTCTGTGTGTTGTAGGTGGCAACGCTGATCGAGTAAGCCTACTAAAGTTGCCAGTATATCCCGCACCCTGCGAACTGCAGGAGGCCGCTGCCGTGCGCGGGTTCAGTCTCGCCGCGCTCGGCGCTGGCTGTGCCGCCAGCCGCTGCTGTGACTTATGTAACGTGTCGTGGAGCTGCGCTGGGTGGCCAGCGTTGCCAGCCGTCTCCCGCGGCCCAGCGGGCGGCGTGTGCTCTGGAAGTCGTGCCGCTCCTGCTGCTCTTGAACGCTTGATTCCGGTGATCTGGCCAGCTGCACTTGCGGCTCTCCAATCGCGCGTGAAGCTCGCGCTGCGAATATCATGCAGATATCGTACCATGCCAGCGGCAGTTGTGCATTGGACAGCGGTGGCTTTGAAGTTCTTCAGCTTGTGAGCTTAAGCCCGCTGCAGGTAATTTCAGTGCGCTTGGAATGATCATCTGGCTGTGTAACCGGGTAACTTGTGCCTCCAAACGCTAAGTTCTGGCGCTGCCTTACGGAGACGGACTTCAAGTTTGAGCTCCTCAAGCCTCCTGAACGAGGATCTCGTAAGCTTTGCGCTGAACTTCTGCATAAATACATACATATGAAACCGAGCGCCTAAATCTGGCGCAGTGCATTCTCGGCCATTCTCGGCCGTGCTATTCCTTGTCGGATGCGTCTCGCAGCGACATGAAGGGGAGTAGCAAACAAGTTGGTTTGTCGCACTGCTGCTTGAGGCTTGTAAGCTGCGCTGTTCTCAATGGTTTTGACGCATTCTGGTCGGCCGCTGCGAAGAATATGCATGGTTTTGGGCGGTGGGCTGTCTGGTGAGCAGCGTTTATGCCTGGCCATGTGAGGTGTCAGCCAAAATCCTCCCCCGTGGGTGACCGCGTACTTATTAATGAGCTCGCCGTCAGCTGCTGGCATTGGATTTAAACCACTGCACTGCTGGAATAACGGAAGCCGGCGGGGGGGGGGGGGGGGGCATTCCGTTGCGACAGCTTGCCCGGATGTATGCCAGTCTTCATTATGATAGTGCACGAGCATCCGGCACCGTTTCGTCAAATTCAGAACGTCTGCTTCATAATTCAGTTTGGCCTGGCGTCTAGACGCACTGAATTGCGTCTATTTGATCTGGTGTGGCGCACCGTTACTAAATTTCTGCCACAGATAATACATTTGCGACAGAAGAGACAAGGTGTGGTGTTTATTTGTCTTGGGATGCCCTGACCCCCCCCCCCCCTGCTCCCCCAATTTATCCACCCCACCTCTTGAACGATGAGCTCAAATCGCAAAAGTCGCTAAAGCATCAAAGCGCCTATATGTTTTGCAAGATCTGGTGTTGAGCCGGCCGTGAGGCCCATGCGGTTCGGCTCCGACACAGCCCGCACGTGAGCCGTGGACGCGGGTCTGGTCAGTCCCAACGCTGAGGGCTCATGCATGTGGCTCTGGACCCATTCGGTACGATATTGTGTCCCTTCCCATCCACCTCCCGCGGCGCGGCCGCCACAGAGCGAGGTCTCGCGTCGCGGACCGGGCGATCGGGAGGAACATGAGGTCACGCGTCGGTCGGTGACCTCTGCTCCCCCTCCCTTCCCCCGCCGCCGCCGCGGCCGCGGCCGCCTTTGCCGGTCGTCAGCGGCGGCGGCGGCGGCGTCCGCACCGAGTGCGTATTTCCCGCGGGAGCCGGGAGAAGGCCCGCCGCTGCCGCGGGAGCTGGGGTAAGCGCCGCGCCACCTCCCGGGGGCCGCTCGGTGTTGCCGCCCGGCGCCCGGGGCGGGTCAGTGCTGGTCAGGGTCCGGGGTGTGGTGGAATGGTGGGGCCAGGGCTACCGCGCGCAGCGCGGCTCGAGATAGGACGAAGTCGGCAGGAAGTGGGGGGGGGGGGGGGGGGGGGGGCGTGGTGACGACTTGCCTGATTTCTGGGCCGTTAAGCGCCTTATGTTGTCAGCAAATTGCCAGTTAAACGACGAGCTTTTCAGCGGTTTGCCGGCCGTCGACAAAGTGAGGTGTGGTCGAGCACGCTTCCACTATGTACACTTTCGGTGCCGTTTGCCATGTGAAGACGTACCGAACATTTGACTACCGAGTATGGTGCTCAGTCGATTTTTAGAATAGGATATGTCAATAGGCACGAAGAGCCAATGAAGAAATCAATACATTACGGCTGAAAACACTGCGGGTAAATATATGAAACAAATGAAATTATGTAGATAGGAATATGGGAAAGGAAGATAAATAGGACGGCACCTTCTTTAACTCATGCGCATAGTATTCGAACAGTTCCGAAGCCATATCCGCGCTCCTATGCGTGTGTTGCGTGTTGTTAGGCAACCCTTTTTAAGACCGATTTAAAACTATTTCACAACCCTTAAACTGAGCGCACCTCACTGACCACCGTGATTCAGGATGGGGTGCCTGAACCGATGATGTTGCGTTGACATGCCACGAAGTCAGTTGATGTCAGGCTGATGTCAGACATCAGCTGATCAGACTGTCATACATCAGACACCAGGCTCACGCCTGACATCATACTGATGTCAGGCGCCGCCGCCCCGCTGACCGTCCTCGACCTCTCCAGCTGGCGCCGCCGCTGGACGACTACCCGTGCAACATGCTGATCGAGACGTCGGGCAGCGACGACGACCACGACAAGGAGAAGCTGACCCGCTTCCTGGAGCACATGATGGAGAAGGAGCTGGTGCTGGACGGCACGTTGGCCTCCAACTCCCGCGAGATGACGGTGAGACGCGCGACAGGCGGGCTCTGTGGCTGTTGTGCGTGGCTGACGGCCGCGGGCCCCAGCCATTGTATGAGTTATCTGGCTGAGGCCCGTGGTCAACTGTATGGGTTGTCTGGCTGATGCCTGTGGGCGCATGCGTTGTCTGATGCTATTTGATCATCGTCATCTTGTTTATTAAACAAGATATGTGATGAAATGCGAACGTAAAATGCGAACATGCATAAAAGATTGTAGCTGAAATAAGGGTTACTTGTATCTTAAACCGATTTATAACGTTTGGGCTTTTATATCAAGCGGATCGCTTCTTTGCCCTATATTCTTTTGGGCACGAGCGGACGAAATGACGAATGTTTTCAGCTCAGGGTCCACACTGGCACACCGGTGCACGTTTTAAAGGCACGGGTCAAAGTGATTTGAAAAAGCATGTCGGTTGTGTTGATTTGAAGATTGTCTAAGTTTGACTGAAGACGAACGATGTCTTCATGTTTGAAGATCGCCTAAATCAGATTGAAGAGGAACGAAGTCTTCATGATGCAGGGATGGGATATGATGGGATGTTTTATTCATTTCTGATCTATGCAGACTCGTGGATTTCGGCGTTCGTGAAGTACGAGCTTTATGGGCAAAGGTGCCGACGGTCGCCCGGCATGGTATGGGTTTGCTTTGATGGAGGTAGAGCGCCTATGGGGCTGAGATGTTGGGCCGGAGGGTGGATGTACAAGCCGATGTCCTGGGGCCGGAAGGCGGGAGTGGCAGCTGATGCCCTGGAGCCAGAGGTTGGGTGTGGCAGCTGATGCCCTGGGGTCGGAGGGCGGGTGTGGCAGCCGATGTCCTGGGGCCAGAGGTTGGGTGTGGCAGCCGATGCCCTGGGTCAGAGGGCGGGAGTGGCAGCCGATGTCCTGGGGCCAGAGGGGGAAGTGGCAGCCGATGTCCTGGGGTCAGAGGGGGAAGTGGCAGCCGATGTCTTGGGACCGGAGGGCGAGTGTGACAGCCGATGTCCTGGGGTCGGAGGGCGGGAGTGGCAGCTGATGTCCTGGGGTCAGACGGTGGGTGTGGCAGCCGATGTCCTGGGGCCGGACGGCGGGTGTAGCAGCCGATGTCCTTGGGCCGGACGGCGGGTGTGGCAGCCGACGTCCTGGGCCGCCGAACTGGTGCTCTGGGTGGAAGGCGGACCGTTAAGTTGGGAGGCCAGACCGTTAAAACAGGAGGGCCGTCGCTGCCAGAAGGGTTTGTCCGCAAAGTTCCGAGGTGGATGGGGCTATGGATCCCGTTTGTCGGTGGTTCTCAAGGAAGGCGGTGGACGACAGTGCGTCTTGCCCCACAGACCAGGGAAGTGGTAGTGATGGTCAAATACCGGCCGCTCGCTCCGCTGCCCGGCGAACGAGGCGGTCATATGGCTTTAGCTTACGACGTTACGTTGCGTCGCATAATGGCCGTGTGGCCTCGGGTTTCACTCTTGATGCGCGAGTCGACCATCGGGCCCTGCTCTCCGCAATCCGAGAGGCCCGGCGCTAATGGCCTCCGCAGATACGTCTGTCCATAAGCACCAAAAGCCAGCAGCTGTGGTCGCCTCCCGGTCGTGGTCGCTGTGGCGGCGACGGCTTCACACTTCACCCGGGCGTCCGGCATATCACTGTGATCTGCGGGGCGTGGCTGTCTAGCTCTGCGATTGGTTTGCCTCGGTGCAGTATGCAGAGACTAAATCGTATCGTATAGTCGAGATTGCGACCATGTGTGGGATATTACGCGGTCCAGCAGTGGTTGACGTGAACCACGTCCGCTTCTGGCTTCAGCTCGTTCCCTTTCGTAGTGCTTTGAACCTGATGCACTCAAGGCCGTTTCATGGCGTACCTAGCTATGCGACTGCGGTACTCAAGGCGTTATCTCGTGGCCTCCAAAGTCCCTGTCACCCCGCGCGCCTGCCAGCTGCAGGCGCTTAGAACAGGACACGGCTTCCGACATGCTTCGTCCTGACCGACGCCCCTTCCCCGTCCCCCTGCCCTGCCCTGCCCTGCCCTGCCCTGCCCTGCCCTGCCCTGTCTTGCCCTGCCCTGCCGCCGCGTGGCTGACTGTCCGGCGTGCGCTCCCCCCGCCCCCCACTGGGGCCACCTCGAGTGACCTCGAGCTAATCTCCAGCCGCCGCCGGCCGGCACGCGGCTGTGACAGACGCTACGGCCGAAGCCCCGTCGTTCCAGTGTTGCTCCGACCTTTCCAGAGCGGATTGGCGCTCGCCGACGCCGCCGGTCGCCGTCGAACGGCGGCGTGCTGGGCGTGCCGCCGGCCGGCCTACCGGCGGGACCGCCTGGACTCGGCGGTCGTATTGTCAGTGCGGAGGCTGAACTGAGGCTTCTGTAGACAGGGGGGGGGGGGGGGAGAGAAACCACGACTGGTCCGTGACGGAGGCGTCTGGCGAAGTGAATGGGACTGCGCTCGTGTTAACGGCTGTCGTTTGGGTTGCGGGAACCTCGCGGCGATTTAGTCCAAGCGGCAAGTGCTTTCATCTGTGATGTAAGGCGTGCCTTGTCAACTTGTAGAGCTACAGAATAGTCACAATATGACGTACAACACAAACCTGACAGGACATGCCATGTTAATTACTGTGGCCATTCTTCAATGTCGCAGCACTTCATGTATTACCAGCACTTTCATCATATATTTATTGCCACTCCCGACACATTTGGACGGCCCCGACAAGTCCTGCAGCCCTCTGGCATCGCTCCAGCAGCATCACTCTTACTGTGCCTTAAGTCTTAAGCAGCGGTGGGCCGCCGCGCCGCCTGCCATGGTTGTGCGCTACCTAAGGCGCCAGAGCTGACGCGTTTGTTTATCCCCGCTCACCTTATTCTTCCACGCTGCACTATTGAAGCGGTCCACGACCAGCGGATATCGATGCCAGTTAAAAGCCCCCCCCCCCCCTTCCTCCGTTGATTACCCCTGTGCCGGCACTGATCTCAGTCTCCTGCGTATCCGCCGCTCTCGTCTGTCTCGCTTAGCCCCCCTCCCCCCCCCCCCCGTTGATTACCCCGGTGCCGGCACCGGTCTCAGTCTCCCTCGTATCCGCCGCTCCCGTCTGCCTCGCCTTGCCCCCTCCCCCCGCTGATTCCCCCCGTGCCGGCACTGGTCTCAGTCTCCCTCGTATCCGCCGCTCCTGTCTGCCTCGCCTTGCCCCCTCCCCCCGCTGATTACCCCAGTGCCGGCACTGGTCTCAGTCTCCCTCGTATCCGCCGCTCCCGTCTGCCTCGCCTAGCCCCTTCCCCCCGCTGATTGCCCCCGTGCCGGCACTGGTCTCAGTCTCCCTCGTATCCGCCGCTCCCGTCTGCCTCGCCTTGCCCCCTCCCCCCGCTGATTACCCCAGTGCCGGTACCGGTCCCAGTCTCCCTCGTATCCGCCGCTCCCGTCTGCCTCGCCTTGCCCCCTCCCCCCGCTGATTACCCCCGTGCCGGCACTGATCTCAGTCTCCGTCGTATCCGCCGCTCCCGTCTGCCTCGCCTTGCCCCGCCTCCCCGCCCCCCTCTCATCTCCGCGTGCCCGAGGCTGATCTCGGTAGTCTCCCGCGTATCCGCCGCCCCGGCCGCCCCAGCTCGACTCCTCGCCTCCATTTCCCTGAGGGCGGCGTTTCCCCGTCATCGCTCCCGCCCGATAGCCCCCTCCTCTCGCGGGGCTGGGCGGGGCCGGACGGGCGGGGTCGGGGTCGGGCCGCGGCCGTCCACAGGGAGTGTTGCCGCCTCGTTTACCGTGCGCCGGCCTCGTCCGCCATCCGCCGGGGCCGGCTGCGGCGACAGTGCTGGGGAGAAGCCTCAGCAGCGACGACCGCTCATGCGGCGGCGACGGCGGACCTGCGGCCGACGGCGCACGGGAGCTGGTGTCGGCTGAACTGACCTGGAGCTGGTGTCGGCTGAGCTGACCTGGAGCTGGTGTCGGCTGAGCTGAGGTGGAGCTCGAGTTGGCGGCGAATGGCGGGGTGCCAACAGTTGCGAGATGTACCTGAGATATCTTACCACTGATGTGTAACATTGTAAATGGAAGGGACGTTTAAAATGCAGATATACGCCTCACTCGAACTATGTACAGCGGGCATGGAAACGTACTTGCCGGGTGACTGTATTTAGAAGTAACGCTGTGATTTCGAAGAAGATCTTGCTTATAACTTTTGCGTAAGTGCATCGGTCCGTTTATGACTTGTGGTTAAGTACGACAGTCTTTTCTAATGCGAAGTGGTCTCCGGGCATGCGACCGGAGATTATGCGGGGAGGCGTGACAGGGGAGAACGGCGTGTCCGGGCTGGCGAGCTGACGCTTCGAGGAACACAGCGCTGCGCCACGGGCGTCGCAGTCAGCCGGCGCCCTCGCCGAGAACTGCCGTTATCACACGGAGCTGGAGGCGCCGGGTGGTTCTCAGACGGTGTGCTGTTGAGTCCCCTGTCCGTGGGCGTCGGTACGACGGAGCCCGGAGCGAGATAATGGTCTATTCGCGGAGCCATTCATGCCCGCGAGTCGTTCTTCAAAGTCCCTCTAGTTATCACCCCGCCATAGCCATGGAATGGCTGCAATGGTCCTTGGCGGTATCCGGCGGAAAGCCTTTTTCCATAATGGCGGGAGGTAACGGACTCGGGGAAATCAACTGGAGTTGGCTACTAGTGTGTCCTGATAATAAAGCGTCTGTGCTAATGGCTGAGCATTCGTTCAGTTTGGGGCCACATGCATGTGTGATCTGATATGCTTGGCAAAATTGGCCTGCGGTGTGGACTTTTGTTCTTTCCACTCTTTCGTGCCTTAGTTTACCTCCATCCTCAGTCCTTGCGTGCACAAAATGTTATTTGTAGCCAAAGCAATCATCAGGTGGCCCCGAGCTCATCCCTCTCCTTCCTCTTCAGCTTTT